TTATTTGTTTCGCGCAATACAACAGAGTCACCGATACCCCAGGGCGACGATCGCGCGCTGAAACGTGCAACGCGTAATCGTACTTGCCGCAATACCTCTTGACATTTACACACGGAAGATCCTGAATATCATTCCAAGCGCGACGACTTGGAGAGGAGCTCGAAGAGCGACCTGCCTGGAATTGATTTTATCGGTAAACAAAGTGGTCCTTACATTCACGAACCAAAGGAAGGAAGGCAAGCGCGATCCTACGTATACATGTCAAGTAAAATGCCCAATACTTGAACACGTCCCAGCATTTGAACACATAATATTTATCTTATTAATGGATAAAATATTTTATTCAAACATGTAATCAAACATACTTATATTTTTTAAATCTTACTTTCTTCAACGCAAATATCATTTTATTTAGACTATACTAGGTTGGTCAAAAAGTACCGTCGAAATTTTCAGTAAGAAAACCATACTGAGTTCTGCGCTTCAATATTTTCCACTAATTTCCAGACCTGTGAAATTAGTTTCAATAACTTTTGATCGACAGGTAGAAAATTCATTTCCTTAACAAAATTCTAAGTTATATCAAAAACTTAAAATGTTTGTCATGTCGTACAGACTCGAACTAAACAGAAGGGTTGAATTTTATCCCAAAGAAATCTCGGTCCTAAAAATTTTGCATTTTCAAATATTGCATTCCCCTCGATAGCGAGCACCGTGCATCCAGATTGGCCAGACTTTTTTTCTGAGCAATGCGAGTTGCATGTACGACGTGCGTCGATTAGCATTCGGTCAAACGGTCGTTCACGGTTGTACAGGTCGTTGCACAAATCACATACACGACCACGCGAATATTTTTTTAAATTTTCTATCGGATCTGAATGGAGCGCAACGCTTTATTTGCCGGCCATTATTATCCCGTCACGACCGACTTAATCGACGGCAAAAAGCTGCTCCGAGGTATCTAATAAATTCTCCCGTAGTTCGTTTCAACGCCGAGAACAAAGAGACACACGGTGTTTCTTTATATCGCGCGACGGGCCGAGCGGCTCCGAATAAACATCTCTTCGTAGGTTTCTCCTTCCCCCTAATAATTTTTCTCGACGTTGGCTTTTACCTCTCCGGACGATGCGGCGGAATTTCAAGGATAATCGTTCCACCTAGGGAGCAAAACCATCGAGAAACGCTTTTCTTAGCCTCCTGGAAATTTATTGACTTTTAACGCGACGCTCGCGGAGAAGATTCCGAGAAAACTTTATCAGAAATTGTATGAAGATACATGTATACCTTCTTTGGTATTAAGAACACAAATTATTGCTCGCCATCTTGTTTGGGCTAATGGACATTTGGGCATTTTGGTGGATCTTAAGTTAGACGCGCGAACAAAATATAAAAATGGTCGTTATTAACGGTGTTAATGTGAACGAAAAGCCGTATTATAACATGCGTGTTAAAGTTTTCGCACGTTGGGTGTTCTTCGGGTATTGGTTCTGATATCTAAAAAATGAAATAAAATAGCGCTACATTAAGATACGCGGCACGTGTATAAATATATTTAAAACTAGCGCGTGATCGATGAGTCGATATATCGATTTGTAGAGGACGTTAGTGTAACAATTTATACGCTAAACGGTTAAGAAACTGTGCAGCCAACCATGCAGACCGTTCAAAAGTTGTAATCGGTTAGTATAACAGACAGCATAATAAGGCAACAACCGTAAAACCAGATATCGAACTTATCAAATACGTAATTTGACGTTTCATTACTTTCTACGTAAAAAGACAAACAGTATATTGCATGTAAGATAACCAAATAGAAAACATTAACACGTTTATAGAGACCGATTGGCAATTTTATATACCAGTGACGGATACAAGGGAGCCAACGTGGCTGGAGTCCCACCTCCCACATCAATTTATTAAAGAAATACCGATGACTTGCCGATACTTTGTATTCTCTGGCTTCTCGACGTTGCAACGAGAGTTGTCTCATTTACATATGTTTCCTTGAAAGGCTGAGTGTGACAAATCGGGTATGTGGTTTAGTTCAGGGTTGCTTTGAAATGTAAATTTCAGGTTGTTTAGTAGTGGAACTCGTCCTTTTGCAAACGGTCCTTACTTTTTATCCAGTTTCTGAAAGTTACGGAACAAATCCTCTATTTTGCCACGAGAAATATGTCTCTTTTTACACGGTGTTTTTTACGCGGTGTTCATTCTAATGTATCAACCATGCAAAAAGAGAATTGAGTGTAATTCGCTCCCGAACGATTGCATAGAACCAAACAAGAAATTCGAACGATTCTTATAATAATTGACAGCAGAAACGATATATTTATTTGAATCACAAGGTTCACTTAGAAAAATTAGAGTTCTTCTAAAATGGCTTGATAAAAGTGAACATCTTCTCATTAATGAATTTAAACGGAAAGAGTAATGTTAAAATATAGTTGTGATCTAAACAGAATGTACAAGGTGATTAAAAGAAGGTGCATAAATTTTAAGGTATACTACGTGACAAATGGGACCAAAAGTTCCTTGAACGCAAAAACCTTCGCATTACTATGTTTGGTGTCGTCATCATTGTTGAATCACCTCTTGCGAGAAAAGTATGCTGTCACTCGGGAAAAATGATAGCCGGAGGAAAGTCTGAACTATTGAATGAGTGAATTATAGTTTCGTTTTCAATGTCAGCATAAAACTTTGCTATACTCGTCCTACAAGCTCGTATGTCATTAAAACTATTCTTGTGTACAACTTCAAAACTAAAACCAACCCTCAACGATAATTTTAATTTTACGAAGAACATAGATTCTTACTTTGTCGTCATGTGCTTCGATCAATCGACCAATCTCATATTATGATCTTGGTATTTGTCACAATAGTGATTTTATAAAGAATAAAAAACTTTGGCAGCATTTCTTACAAAATTTCTGGAAATGAAATCCGGAGCACTGATTCATGGGTACACTTGGCAACGTACGAACGACCGTGGAATATTTATTGTGAACAAACATTCGTACGAAAAACGTAGCTGCGGCGATCGTGCCTGTTTTTGAAGAACTCTCCAGGAAAGGACTACTTGAGCGTAGCATCGATGTGTATAATCAAAGCAATAATGAAAGTTAAAACTCTCTTGCGTGGAAGATAACACCGAAAAAACGCTTTCGAGTGGCGTAAAACTCGTCGAAATTGCTGCAGACATTGCGACACGTACTTTCGATGATGGCGATACTTCATTACTATATACCGTGATGGCCGGTGGACATTAAAATTGATGTATGCTTATAAATACTGTAAGAGTCAAGATGTCCACCGAGTGCATATTGCAGAGAAGCAAGATAGACAATGTGCAGGTTTCTTAGAACTTTACAGATAGGTCTGTACAATGTGGTGTAAATTTAGCTGACATTAAGAAATTTTTTAACGGGTTCTTCTACGTTTCCAAATTCCAGGCAAAAATAATAGCTGTATTTTCCGTTATATTCAACATTAAACTGGAAAGGAAGAACTGATTCGTTCGCGTCTGCTCGCTACAGGAAACATACTGCTGATCTTTGCGAGGGCTAGACTACTCTATCCAGCCAGTTCCGCTACAAGCAAGGAGAGAGGACTACTTATGTCCGGACGATGCCCAAGTAACACCATACTAGACTCAAACTCAATGTTAAGACGTTCTATCATTTAACATTTTGACTAGACTTTCCACTATGGAACTAAAACAATTCTCAAGTTGAAACGTTAAAGAAAATAAATTTGAACAGGACCCATAAATTTTAGCGAGATTACGAAAATAAATATCAAGTCTTGTAAGGTATGAAGTTTAGAATTGTTCATAATGAAAGTTTTGATCTGAATCGTTGTTAATTTTTGACGATTTTCACAAATAAGTGAAATTACACACACGCAAGTTTTGCTGGGCTCGAATAAGAAAATCGAGTCGTCGCGTATGTGCGAAGGTGGTAAAATATGACAATGGTGAGTGCCGTAAAATAATAAAAAAAGATATATCTATCGAGGAGAGGAAACGTTGGCCATTTTTCGGGATTAGTCGTTCGGTCTCACGGATCGAGGCAAGGATAGGACAAGACGTTGGCCAGCCAGGGTGCTTGGCATTCTTGCCCACAGCCAGGTACCAGATCCGCGTCGTTTACTTTCACCGCTTACGCTCGATCTAACTATAAAACACGTCCAAAGCGGAGCGTTTCGCGTCGTTTCGGGGGACCGGGGTATCGAATCGAATCGACGGCTCGCTCGATTCGATTCGTCCAGTCGGGCGCGCGTTATCGATCGGCCTCGAAATTCGACCCAGTCGCGAGCATGAAATTTGCATCGGTTCGATCGTCTCGGGTCGAAACCCACACGCGGGAAACCTGTAATTCGGTCAATAATTTAACCGGCACCGCGACGGAGACGTCCCGGAGACGGCTCCCGGGTCCTAATGGCGTCGTAAATTTCGCGAAATATCAACGACGACCACTGGCGGAGAGAGAAAAAAAAAGGGAGAAACGAAAGGGAAAGGAGGAGTCGTTCGTAAAAGAAAATTAAAAAAAAAAGGGGGGAAAAAAGAGAACGTCCGACGATTCCCTTTTCTAAAACCCGACGCGCCGATTTTAGCGAACCGTTGGCACGCGATCGCGCAACTTTTTGCGCGAAGGACGTAGATCGCGCGCGCGCGCGCGCAATTCGCGGTAAAGTTGCCCGGCCAAGGGATTTTCCCTCGTGATCGAAAACGGAGGCCACCGTTGGATGGAAGTGGGATTGGAGGTCTTGAAGTAAACGGTTGCGAGAAATTGAAGATTCGCTCGGTCGGAATTCCGCGAACGGGAACAATGGCGCCGGGTATCGCGTGGCGTACGGTGGGTATCGCGAAGGATATATCAAAGTCACACACGTACGATAGGTGGATGGGTTCTCAGGCACGGGTGGTTGCTGGCAGAGTGAGAGTGCCATATATATAGAGAGAAGGGGAAACTCGACTCGGCACTCCAAAGTACACAGCCTCCGTGATTGCAGTGGTGTGCTTTCGGTTCCTTCTACAACCGCTCGATATTCATTCTTCGCGGGTTCGCGCCCGTGGTAACAGTCGGCCGTCGATCCGTTTCCAACTGCACGTTGCAGCCACAGAAGGGCAGCTTCCGCGACGAGAGGTTTCCGTCCGCAAGCCTACCGACACCACCCACCACGTCCACGGCCATCCAACGCACGCCATGAAGTTCGCACTCTTCGCGTGAGTATCTTACACGTTTCCGTCTCTCGATCACGCATCGGCCATCGTTCTTATCGATCGCACGAGTTTCCCCCTAGGGCAAGATTTCGATCCAGCGTAGCATATTTCCCGATAAATCCGCGAGTGACCGACGGACACGATCCCAGCGAGCACAGTCGGTGACCGTTTTGCTCTATCCAAGGCCAATCGGGGCCTCGTACGCGATCGAAAGGTGTATTTACTCTATCTAACGTTACAAGCGGTGGTGTCTGTCGCAAGCCGTTCCATAACCGGATCGTTGGAAATTTCGTTCGAACGAAGAACTCGAAGAGAGATGCTGGGGCGTAAAAGCGAGCGCCTGGCGAACGGTCCGTGTAATAACAGGATGCAGAAAGGCGCGTTATGCAAACCTGGTAGCTGTTGGCCAGGCGTCCGTTCCCGGTTCCCAACCAGGAAATTGATTAGAAAACGCAGCCAACAGCTCCGGACGACCGTCCACTCCGCGAACGGCGTTGAAATTAATCGACACCGATGAAAAATACTGATTACGTCGCGACGCCTTCTCCGTTACCGTTGCTTTTCCTTGACATTATTCCGACGACATGCTAGCGCGAGTCGATCGCGAGTCGCGCCGCGGCTACCACTCGGGGACCAAACCGACGAAAGACACGCGAAAACAATCGCCAGGAACGACTTACGCAACCGCCATTTTAACCCTTTCATCGCTTTGATCACTCGTTTACTGCAATTATTACTCAAGTTAGCAATTATCGTTTTAAAAGAATCGCATTTACAACTTGTTGCGATCGACGGAGTTCGCGAAGGGTTAAAACGCGGTCTTGCGTCGATTTCTTTCTTTTCTTCGATCCCCAAGCCTTTCGGGCGGCGCTTTTTTCTCCGATAACCACGAAAACGAATAATGGTGGCGACGCCATGACACAATCGCGATTGCGGTCGCGCGTCGAGACGAAATTGCGTCAAGAAACCGGCAAAGGCCAGCCGCGAGAAAGCAAGAAGAAACAATTCCGTTGACCGTGGAATCCGTCGAGCGATTTCAGCTTGGCCGATCGTACGAGGAAAATCCGAGTTTCGAAATCGCTTGTCGAACGCGATTGTTCCGGGGAACGTTGGGGCGAGGCCGACGAGTTTCAACGACCACTAGACGCTCGAAAAATTTGAATTCGTCGATTCCGCGACGACGGGTCGAGGGTTCTGGCTAGTTTTCGTGACATTTGTTAGCCGCGTCACGTATTCGCGTATATACGACCGACGTCCGTCGTAACGGATCGCCGCGGCCAATCCCGGGAGTAGCGTTGCACGAGCCAAGCAGAGAAAGTGAGTTTCGTACGTGAATGTCACAGGTCAAAATCCAGCCGGTGTACGCGGATCTACAACGGCAAACGCGCGAGTAACGCTCGCTGTCCGGTGCATGCCGGTTTCCCTGCCGATTCTACGTAATTATCGCTCCGTGATTATACGAATCCCCCCTCCTTCACGCGCGAAGACGTTTCTCATCCAAGGATTTTATACCGTTACTCGCCAAACTATCCGTCCCGACGCGTGCAACAGATTTAATAAATTTTACATATTTAATCGATTTCAAAATTAAAATTACTAAACCTTCGCTACTGTAACGATATCTTTTATTTAAAAAAGGATTCTAATTATAGTTTTGTTTGAAGAGATAATTTCTATTATCCAGAGTCGATGATCACCAGATATTTGAAAAAAAAATGAATAAAATTGCACTGAGTATTCTATAGAATGTAGTGTAAATAAGAACGATCTACATTATGACAAGCTATTTGTATCTGGAAACGTGCTGTGCTAGGGGATTGGCGATATTTAGAAAATGGTCAAAATGTCCCAAATTGTTTGAATTTATTTTAAAAATGAATTGATTGTAACTGTTAATTGAACGAAACAATTCTTGACGGGATTGAAATAGCAAATTTCTAATAAAAATAATTACAATTTAACTTTCAAGTTAGAAGGCTAATTAACTCAGAAATTATACACATTTATTCCTTGTCGTACGATTTCATTAGAAGTAAGTGTTCAACGATGTATTATTTCATTCCTTTTTAATTTGTTTGTACTTGTATTGGTCATAAGAAAGCACAACATACTTTTACGAGTGATTGTACTTTGAATTATTTCGAACGAAAGATATGTATATGTTTAACTACTTAATTATGAACGTTCAAATTAGAGCTTCGCGTGTAGGGTAGTGGACAGCAACCTGTAGCTCTTTAATCAAATTATCGCGCCTATTAATTCGTGTCGAATTATTTAAATCACCTTTCTATTCGATCTATCGCAGCTTAAATAAATTTATATTTCAGATACCTACTATGCAACGTAACTTTATTTCATTCTGAGATTACTTTATCTGGAATTTTAATTTTAGAAATGGGTACAAAAATAAATGGAAAATATACAATAAAATCGGTTTCATTAACCTTTTGATTATCGAGAGAAATAACATTTTGCGTTACGGTAAACTATATGCGTACATTTTATTAATTGTAAGTCTCGAGCACAGTCCTGTAGGCAGCAACATGTGCAGCATATTAATCAATTTCTTGAATAAAATCAATCATAGAAGGTAGCTGTCTTATTTTTATTTACGAAACTATGATAATTAGATACTCTACATAGAAAAATCCACTAGATCGGGTCTTACTAATTAATCCAATCCACTTATACGTTAGATAGATCTTATATCTGTCAACGCCCAACAAAGTTGATTATCTCGATATAGTAGAACGTTTAGAAATTTGAAAAGAATTTTATCCCACATTTTCACTCAATCTCGGTTGTACGATGTAGTGAAGTTATTGGAAATCCTAAATAATAAAATATAGTGTCGAAAATTCCATGACAACATAGATAGTATCTGAATACTAATACGTTAAGAAACGGTAGCCTTGTAGATAGAGAGTTTGCAAAAATTAACGAACCGACGAAAGATCGAAGAGAAAATCAAGACAATTAGAGCGATTATCGGCAAAATTATGTAATCTATTAGCAGGATTGGTACAAAAAAAGCTAGTTCTGAAATTTGGTGTCCGGAACAAAAGAGAAAATCTTTTGATAGATAACGCGTTAAATAAATTAATTCTGATAGTATGAGACAATTTATATGACTGCATATGATATTCATTCGGAGAAGAAAAATAACATCATCGAAATGTCTTGAAATATCTATTTCAGTTACAATTCTTAGTATTATACAGTTTCTTTTGCCTATTGAAAAAAAAAAAATAAAAACCGTAATTCTTATCTGTATTGATCAATTATACGAAAACACGTTTATCGAAAATGCTTTGTCTCCTTATAATTTTCGATAGTTATGTATCGAGTGGATAAGAGTGTATGTAAATGTGACAGCAACGAGTGGCTCTCGTCGGCACTTGGAAATGTTAAGAACGTGCTACTGTTTGCATACCGCGTTGAAAGTCTATTGAAATTAGTTTGGAGCATATTAGCTTCTACGACGTCCTTCATCTCGTAAAAATAGTTTTAAATCATTTACGTGACGTAAATGTATAACTATATATAATGGATTCAAGGTCATTGATACGAACTATAAAAAAGGTAATGACTCTGATGCAAGTCTCGATAAACAGCAGATATCGCTTGCGTTTTGTCGGATAAATTGTTTCTAATTTTAATCACCTGACGTTCGTTGAATGTTACTTAATCAAGTTAAATAATTTGATTTTAAGAACGTTACTCGATAAACCGAGTCTAGTCACTGGTCTTCGTCAAGGACAAGTCGAAACAAAATTATTAAGTACCCCTAATAACTAAAATTAAGATTTAGATTTATTATCGTAAATCAAACGTTCATTGTTTCAGTCTACATTTTTTTCAAAACTATTGGCAGGAGTGTTGAGTATAAAAAAGAGTCGATAAATTCATCTGCCTCATTTTATAACTTGTGTATCTGTGTATGGATGATGAGCAAAATGTAATCTGATTAATGTTCAACGATATCAATTACCGTCTAATCGAACCAATGATTAATGATAACGATTATTCAGCAATCAGTGATCAGAATTAATGAATGAACCAAACAATTAAAGATCGCGTAATCGTCAGATACGTCTCAATTCATTAATCAACAATCACGAAATGATTATACTTTTCATTGATGTAGAAGGTAAAAAGAGTTAGCGAAAGCTGTGCTTATTTTTCATTGAATTTCACGAATTACTGATTTTAAATATCACTAATGGTAATCAATGATTATTGTTATTAAACTGCGAATTTGGCGCAATCATGGCGAACGCTAATATGAAAAACACATGTACAACGCGTGCAGAATTCTTTAAAATAAATTAATGCACGAATATACATATCTCATTTTGCATAGTTGCATATATCTTATAAACGTTTAGCATACATTTTCATACCTGTATACGTCGTAAATGCATCAAATTCACAGTGCAATGACTATCGTGGTCCAATTACAAAAGTATTCCCTGGTAATTAATCGATTGTTCTTCCTGGTATACGTACCCTATCAAAAATTCAGTGCACCTTTCCATATTTGAACTGTGAAAACGATTTATTAACGCTGTAGAAACGCTGCTCTTGCAAAGTGCAAGGAATGTTTCCCCAAAGTTTGATCATGCCTTTCAGTTACATCCTGTATATATGTGTGTATTGGAGTGTCCTGCAATCGACACTGCACTCGTAAGCGTTGGAATCGAGCTCGAATCATACCTTTCGGAGTCAAGTATTTCGGGAACTCGGTCGCTCGCAATGGCGCTCGGACCTTCCCTCGATCGGAAACGAGTTTTGCTTGTCCCGTGTCGCATCGACTCGCAAGCTTATCCCTTTTTTTTCTCTTTTTTGCGGACGATACTCTCCCCTCCGCTCGAGCTAATATTTCGCAGAGTAAAATGCACGGATTTCTTGCCGGCTACGAGATACTCCGGTTCGTTGCCTTCCACCGTTAGGAAAAGTGTTTTCTATCTTGATCCTCGCGGCAGCACGCGAGCGCGATACGCGCGTTTCGCCATACGCTCGAACCGATTGCAATATTTCACAAAACAACTTGTATATTTTACCATACACACCACCGTTCGAAAGTTTGGGCTCGAATGTTCACGATTTATGGGAGAAGATGCAAATAAAGGCTGATCGTAACGTCACTGTGGACGTCACAGAGATATAATCATGAGATTCCCAAGATCGCGTAAGCAGGGAATCTACACCCTGGCTGCACCACACCAGGGGCCATGACCCAGAATTACCAGCCCTCTCGACGCTTTCCATAACACCGAGCTAGAATGTACCTCTCCAGCCTCGTTCCCCCCCACCAATATTTACACTCTGAATTAGACCAATAAAGGATTCGGAGTTTCGTGCTGATTAATTTTACGCTAGAGAATTTTTAAATGTTTCTGCAAAGCTACGTGTAAGATTTGTAGATCGGGCAATAAAATGTTCTAACGTCGGAGTTCTTCAAACTATTAAAATTTCAAAATTTCGTTAGAATTTAGCAATTGTCTCGATAAATAAGATTTTGTTACTGGTTGCAAGTAAAAATAGCACGAAGAATATTATTTTAGTGAAAAATCGTAAATAGGTTGAAGTATTTAAATATCACGAATCTTCTTTCAATATTATGCTTCGGTTGTATTCGCCATTAAATCAATTATGAAATTTGTATTTACTGTTTGAACAATGTATCTAGAATTGTTTGTTTCTGACCCCTCCTCGAACAAAATAGTATTATTTTTGTATGGAATATGTCGTGCTACTCTATTAACAATTAAACAAATGTTACACTTACATATTATCACGTAGAAAGAAACACAGCATGCCAAACATATTCCTTTCTCTTTCCCGATAAGTTTCTAGTGGTCGCGCAGCCATAACGCTAGATGGTGTTACGTGGATCGTCTGAAAAGTAATGCACAATTGTGAATAAATAAAGGCGAACTTAATTAATTTAAATTTACAGTCCCTCGATATTTTCAGTGTTTGAAAAAGCCGAAATTAACAGTTCCTTTCTGAAGTTAAGTTTAATTCCTTCCTCGCCATCTCCAAATATGGATAAGGATTACGCTACACCTGTTCCTTGAATTTTGATAACAGATCATAGACGATCATAATCACTATTTCTGTGATGCTTAAAAAAAAAGCTGAAAGCGACTTCCGTATTTCGTTAAAAAATCAAAGCAATCAAAATGCCTGTCAGTATCGTACGTCACTCAGGAAACTATAAAATAGTCGTTCAAAACATTTTCCCGTCTAGCAAATCACTCACGAGGTATTTAAATCGATCGCGTTTCCCGTTGTTTTTACGAGCAACAAGTTGACTAATCAGTAATTCATATATTCCTCGCATGTTAAAAAATTTCTATATACATTTGATGCTGTTTCAAATCGCGTAAATTGCAATCGTTACAGCCACGTTCTAGTTATTTCCGCGATTTGTATAATTAAGTTCGCTTCCTGTGCATATAAGATTATTATTCGAGAACAAAATTGCCACGAATACGCGTTGTTGTCTGATCCCATCCACGTAACGTACACGGATGTAAACGGATGCATCTTCGCGCGTTGCAGTCACGATACTTTCGTAGCTTCTCGTGCAACGATCGTTTCTCCAAACAAACTCGTTCGCGCCTCGGCCGAGAAACCGACCGACGTTGTCGCGTACTTCCTGTTGCCGTCGATTATTCGGTCCGCTGGAATTAATTGTGGAGGAAAGTGTTTCCTAGCTGGCAGCGATCCTTTGCGTGCACGACTGCCTTTCACTATCGCTCGAAATCTTCGCTTTTCGACCTCGTTGATTCTGCGTGCAACGGTACAACGAAAACGAGAATACGTGTATTGTACAGCGTAAGAAAGATCGACGCCGGATTAGGGGAAATGTCTACCGGGAGCAAGTAGAACGCGAACAGCTTCGAACAATTTCTACTTAGCCTTTGTAAACCCACGAGACTATTGTATAACGATGAAACTTGTGTTGGGGTGTGGAACCGACTTTTAAATTAAATTGATGCATAAAACTGTTTGTTTCTCGTCTTCATTTCTAATTAGAAAGAGATTTAATTGACCAAAGAGATCCACTAAAAAACTAAATAATATCCGCCTTGAAAACATTCCTAAAGAACGATAAAGTTGAGATAGCTATACATATAAATAAAATTTTAATTTTCTAATTATAAATTATAAGTTTGTAGAGTAGTTGAATTGACCTTTCGATCTACACGGTTTTTTAAAAATTGAATCAAGATTCGTTGAACTTGTGTTGGATGCTATCTAGTTGTGTTTTACACTTAGTAGAGAGCAAGAAAGATTGTGGATTAAGGTGAACGCGGACAGCGTTCGGTAATTATTTCTAAATCACAGACCATACCCAAGACGTGAGTTAAACGCCCGATACGACTTTCGATTCTTGTCAAGCCCGATGTTTCTTTCACTCTATGGGTACACGTGCGTTGAACGAACTAGTTCGCGTAACAAAAATGTGTCCGCTGGTTGCAGATTGGTGGCGGCCGGTTGCCTGATAGCCCTGGCTAAATCAGCGGAGGAGGAGTACGATTACGAGGAGGAGCCAGCAGCGCCGGTGACCCCGGCCCCGGCTAGACCAGCTTCCGGAAGACTGGGTGGGCTATTGTCATCTTCGAGAGGACGAGTGAACGTCGGGAGAAAACCGACTGGCGGTGCGGGTGCAGCCGCGGTGAGTCCTGAATTCCTTCGCTCTCCATGCTTTGGAGCAACTCGAACACGGTCGAGATTTAATGGAGATACGCCCGTAGCTTTGATCCAGTGTCTTTCTCGTGAAAAGGACTCGCGAGGGTCGAACGAAATCGTAGCAAACAAGTCGTAAATCTCCGCGCGCATGGGTCGCTTAAACGGACCACACACGGTCGAAGTTTGTTGGAAATTTGCCTGCATTTGATCGACTATCTTACTCGTGGAAAAAGACCAGCGCGCGTAAACCGTTTAACCCTGCTGTTCTGATACTTGTTAGAATAAACTTGTGCCTTTCGGGTCTATTTGACTCGGTAGATTATTGTCTTGGAAGCGATAATATAGCATACAAACGCATATGAACTGCTTCAAATAATACTAATTATGTAATTCTTAAGCATGATGTGCAAAAAGTTAAATTTATGATGAATCATGTTTGTTTTGTAAAATATGAAACGGTTTGAAAGTATTTGATCGTCGCTGTATGTTTACAATTTGACGACTAAGAGCATGTATTGCCGTTCGTTGCAATAAAGAAGTAACGTTTAATCATTATGCGTTACGCTTGCCTTTGTAGTAACTGTTTTTGGGCATGTGACATCGATTTTATAGCTTACGTTAGTAGAGATTCAATTTAAATTATCAGACATTAAGTACAATATAAAATCATAGTTAATATACCCTACAACTATACATGGTGTTCGGCCACCCCTAGGAAAATTTTTTAAGAATATTAATTTGTTGATTGAGGCTTTGTTAAAAAGTTATTAAAAAATTAAATTAAAAAATTTCAAATCGTTCTAAAAAAATTATTTTCAGTTGCAGGGGTCAATTATAATCATTTTTCGTCATTAGACACATTCCCGAATTTCTACGCACTTTCGAAAAAAAAATTCTTTACCGAAAATATACTGTGTGATTGGAAATTTTTTTTTTACGCTGAATTTAGGCACCTGTAGTATAAAAACCTATAAAACCTATAGTATAAATTAGTATAAAGGATACCCTCTAAGTAGTCAGTACACGGTTCAAGTTTACCGGAGATTTGCTTCGCAAGCTTGGTCAACAATTTTTCCCACGAAAGAGATGTCCTTCTTTAAAAGAGAAGATCGACTAAACATGCGGGTGAACCTTCAATAAATAACCTTTAAGGCAGCTTATACACGCAAAGGATTATTGGAAGATTTATCCGCAGATTCGATCAACCGTCTGTCGTGAACAAGATAATGGATTAAACTTGTAAGCAAGGCTCCAGTAAACCTCAAACATTAATGGACCGTCTAACAGCGACGTCCTCGCCATATAATTTTACTTTCCAGATAGCTTAGAATGTCTTACTGTTGCTATCTACGTAATCGATATCTAATTAATCAAACCTTCCAAAAGTATTTTTAAAGCTGCATAACAAACGATGCAATATAAAAATTTACTTTTCAAAAGTACTACATTATATGATCGTTTAAAATAACCTATGCATGCAGAGGTTTACTAAAGGTTTGATCACACCAATTACCACACGATTAAAAGATTATCGAGAGTTTGCCTGCAGATTGGATTAAGCACTATTCTTCCTGATCTTAGTCGTAAAGAAGGCAGTAGACCAAAGTTGTAGACAAGCGTCCAATAAACTTCGACTATGAATGGGTCATTTAATTGTGATATCCTTGCTATATGGTTTCACTGTCAGTAAATAGAGAAAAAATTTAATGGCGCTACCTTTTAATAGAGCTATAAAACTCTCATAGCTCTATTATTATTACGAATTCTAATCAAAGATCTTTTAAAAGTACTAGACTAGAATATCGTTGTAAATGATACTAAAGGTTTGCCTGAAACACGCGATTAAATTTTTAATGAATGCCCCGCAAAGCAGTCTATAAGTTCGAAGAATTATCGCATATTTGGTCAATCGTCTTCCTGTGTAATCTGTTCGCGACAACTTCGCCATATGGTTTCACTTTCAGTACAGCTTTCTATTATACCTTCAAACGTATGTATCATATTTGATACCTGCATGGTAAACTACTTATAGTTCACTGCTATGAATTTAAATAAAATCATTTAGAAGTACATACAGACTAAATTGCCCTCTCTGACGATCCATACACGCAAAGGTATATTTTATCGAAAAGTACCAAATACACAAGTAATTATCTAACGAGTGCGTGTATGGATCGCCATAAGCGTTCACCGTGTATGTACGTGGCAAGTAACGAAATGGAAACGATGTCCCGTTAATTGCAGACGCAATCGACCACGGCGAAGCCCGTCGAGCAGCCGCTAGAGGAAGAAGAGGGCGAGGAGGAGCTCGATGAAAATCAGGACCAGCAAGAAGACGTTCCCACCACCACCACGGAATCGTCCAAGAAAGTTCGCGGCGGGGTCAGACCTTTCAGGTAACTGCGCCTCGATGCCCCTATAGTTTAACGCCCGTAAAGATGGCACTCGCGAAAGAGAAATGTTTTGCCCTAGATCGAATCAGGATCTGTTGGATGCGTTGAAGAAGAAGAGAGCTCAGGTCGGGAACAATCATCGAGAATCGTCAGGCAGCCAATCCGCCTCGGAATCGACGACGTCCAAACCCAAGTAATCGAACGGTCTCGTGCACGAACGCGATCTCATAAAGGACGAGGTACTTTAACGAACGATTCGTTGCTTTCTTTTAGATCGACTACGAACGGTCGCAGCAAAAGCAGCACCGCGACGGAATCGAAGTCGTCGGGACGCGGCAGGTTCGGTGGAACCAGGGGTAGCAAGCCAGTGCAGGAGGAGGTCGAGGAGACCCAACGGGAAGAGGTCCAAGTGAAACCCAAGCCCTATCGTAGAGGATAGATCGTTCGCGGGGAAACGCGAATTTCCCAGCTTCTTTTAAACCACGCGGAATAAATAAATCGAACGCAGCTACGGCGATCGATGCCCCAATTCGTTGATATCCCGTCGAAGCGACACGAATTTCTTTCCCTCCCACACCACCCCCTCACACGAATAACGCGGTAATTACTAGAAACGTCTCTGACCCCCTCGGTCTTCGCGCGAAAAGGCATTGAATCGGGATCGCGTCGATCGCAACATCGTTTGCCTTATCGAAAAGCACTCTCTGAAAAATACTACATGTATATAGAAGAAGACTCTGCCGCTCACAGAACACTCTCGAGGTACTTGCTGTACAAATGTAAATTAATACGACAATAAAATTTGCGAAAAATAAGGTTCAGACGTTCGTTCGTACCACGTAAAGTTTTACAGAAGTTTTCATCCGGCCACCACGCCACCCCGTGCGTGTCCTCGATACGGTAACCTTGACTAGACCAGTCTAGGAATCGTTGCGCGTCGATCGTTATCTCGTAAATTACTTTTCTCGAAGCGTATTTGCATACGCGCGACGAGCATCGTAGGACGCAAGAGAAATTCCAGGCCGCTTTGGAATGTCGAGGGCGTGCTCCATCTGCACTCTCGCATTCTCATCTTTTATACATCTCGCGACGAAGAAACGCGCGCGCATCAACCACTCCCAAAAAACTTTTGAAGCGTTCCTACCACGCTCGCCCCGTCCCACTTTGTCGCCTCGTCGCACCGGTGAACAACCAACGGCATATGCTTTTCCCGTCTTTCCGCCGTGCTCGAACGTGACCATTCAAATTTCCAACCGCGACAAACTGGCGAACAGCCTCTCCTCGTCTATCAAAGGCGACGCGCGGATCGGAAAGCAACCTATGCAAACACTTACAAAAGACCTCAGACGCCACTTGTTTTACGAAACTTTGCACAAATGTTCGTTGGTTCAACCAGAGAACTATGTCGTGTTGCTACTTTCCTGCCTCGAAGGAGAAAGCACCTTTTCCTGGGGGTTATCCAGTTTATTTGTATCTACGTGACTCTCGAATTACAAAAGATATTAATTACTAGATGTTTACGAGTTCTCTAGCGCTAAGTTTGCGATTTGAACGAAAGTTGTACCGTTTTGTAGATCAGAAAAAATGTCTTCTTCCTAAAATTTCCGTGAGAACTTGGATTACTCGTTCAGAGGAGCGCAGAGTCTTTCACAATTTAAGAGGTAGAAATAAATAAGGGATGCTTTCCTCGAGAGAGTCCAGGAATTGCAAGAATGGAAAAGGGCAGAGTTCATAGGTCGTAGCAACGAAGATTCGTGCAAGGTTTTGTAAAAATCTGACGGTTGGCAGTGTTCCCTGGTTGGTCGAGAGCGTTGGCGAGGAAAACGAACGAGTCGGGAGAGCACGAGCTAGCGGCATGCTAGTGGACAAGAAAGAATGAAACGAAGAAGAAAAAGCAAAATGGAGGGAGGAGAAAGGCGGACTGGTGGACGTGGACCGGTACGAGTACGCTCGCGAGAGGTACGAAAGTGAGAGGAGGCAGTATCTCGTCGGCCTTGAAGCCTTCGCAAGGAACATTTCACTCGCAAAGACCATCCGAGTCGCGTCACGATCCTGATAACACGTCGAGGCAAACTCGACGAGCCAAGAAAGGAAAACAAAGAGAAGGAAGACGACGGATTATTCTTTTCGCCTCGACGGTCTATAAGGAGACGTAGACGCGGCGATTTATTGTACGATAAGTCGTTACGATGATCGTATGGCAACGTTATGCTGCCAACGCGCGGTTCCTTGGTACAACAGGTTATACAACAGGTTGTACCAACCGTGGCTGTGTACAAATTATTGGTTTCATGAATCGATAAATACATAGATATTAATTAGACTGTGATAAAGATGTTCTTCAAAGATATAGAAAGTATCTACGCTCTTATTAGAAGTAATAATCATCACTTTTGTCTTTTACGGAAAATATGAGCTAGCGATGGTAGGGATATATGATATCGAGAGTTACTATATAAAAGTTTAAATATTATAGTACTGAAATTCTTCTTAATAATTTATATTGTTAAAAATGCTGTTTTGAAATTTAAAAAGGAAAACAATGGTTAGCAAAAGTAACCACTATGAAAATGTATTTCGTATATCATTTTCTAATAGATACACTTCTGTTTTGAAATAGCGATGTCGTCCATCAGCGTTGTGATTTTCTCTTTTTCTTTCTTAAGTGGTTACGCCAACTTGCGGCGAAACAAAAACTGACATTTTTTTATAACACGATAGTTTGAAGTCAAAAGAATCGTAATAATAGTAACTCAAATACTGTTGATGAAAATTAATTTCTGTTCAATTTAACTTTTAACTCATCTTTTGATTTCCAACCACCGATGAAGTCAAAATTAAGCCATTTTGTTTCCTCGTACCGAATATTGACGACGTTTTATTTACAGCAAAAAGTAAATTTTTAGTGTATAGTATTACCGTAAAAATGTTGACTATTCACCAAAATGGCGTAACCTCTGAACGCCTGACTGCATGGAGATATTATAAAATCAACGGTAAAATTACATCTTTGTCGCTTGACATTTTCCCCTGTACGTCGAATATCCACACTTTCGACCGATCGGGTGATAAACGTTGACCAAGACTGCGATCGGAACCCGTATGAACGCGCGTGGAAACTTCAACTTTGCCAGAACCGATGCTCGTCGTTTGTGCAGACGGATTACTTGTTCGCGAGCGTTTATCTTCCCTGATTGGTCTGTACGCGACTTCGTGGATGGTTATTTGTCTTCGATCAAAGTCCCTTGGCTCTCGTTGCAGTGAAAATGCGAAGAAGAACGCAACACGTTAGGATCGTCGAACCAAAGGGAGTCGAGCACCGAGAGAAACGTATCGGTGCTCGTTTGTTAGTTGGATGAGATTTTAATTACGGATCGGAAACGATTGGTGTTCTATTCACCGGTCATCCTTGACGGAGGCGGCATTCCATCAAGAATTTCCCGTTTCTCTCGACCTCTATCGCGATTGCGACTCGGCTCTGCTCGACGAATGTCGCCCGTTTCGATCGCTCTCTTTTATTAGGATTTTTCACGGTAGATCCATTAATCGCGACAGAGAGGTCGATGCAGCGACTGGAAATCCTGTTAGCTCGGGTCCACGGATTAACCACGAACGCTGCTCGAGCACACGTTCCTGCTATTATTATGCTAAAGGTTATGCCACGGTTTCCTCGCAAACTGCCGGGATGTGGGTTGTTTCGCAACGGTTTACAACAGAAAGCGAACAGCGAGGAGATCTTTTCCGTGGTTCTCGTGCCCAACCTCTCGCACCTGTTGGGTTACGATTAACGGACGTTGCGCCGAAAGCTAATTAATTAGGCGCCGCTTGCCCGCCGAATTACGCGGCCAATTACGAGACCGGATGTACAGGATGCTCGCGAAACCCCCGGCCAAACTTTGGGAACCTAATTTTTTATTCGTTCTTTTATTTTTATTCGACAATTTTAAAACAAAAAAAAGTCAGCGCGTTGAAAATTTAATCGAGTGATTATAATGTCAAGGATTTTTTACAAAAACAAGATAGAAATTTCGACTTATAAATAGGAGGAATCTTGCAAACAAGACAGTAAGCATGAGGAATCTTTAACGCACATTCATCAAGAATAAACAGAGAAATAATATGGCAGAGCGTATGAGGGTAATAGAGAAACGAAGAGAGGAATTTTAGATGCATCGAATACGAGAGGATGATCGAGTAGAGAGACAGGAACCATAAAGCACATCGTAATAATCAAACGAGGAAACTACCAAAGATCGAGGTACTGTTTTGAGTGTGTTGATAAAACATGACGAGAAGGATGTAGAAGTGGTGAACGTGAAAAAGCTGAACGTAGCAGCATGATGGTTAAAATATCAAGATAAATCAAACGCTACGCTCAAGATTCTTGAGTAAAGGTTGCATTGTAAGGAGAGTTAAATCAATTGAATATTCTACGCATAGTAACGGTACAAGAATGCCATATTCACGTATATACGTCTCAGAAAGGTTTCCTTTCTAGCCAAAGTATTTTAAAGTTGCAAGTTAGTGGAACTTTTATGTGTGCTCTTCGAACAAAGAGACGAAGCTTAACCAGTGTTGTGATTTTTAACTATTACAATATACCAGATAAATACTCTAGATAAATGCACTTGTATCGAGAAGTGTAAAACAATATTTTACTTTAAATATTTATGAGAAAGAAACTACTCGAAATAAAAAGATACGGTAAGTATATAAACAAAAAATGTATGAGAACAGTTTGTTCATTGGTAAGTGACGACGAACGTTACTTTTCAGCGGTCTCCGGGCAAGGACAACGTGTTATTGTTGTCTTACAATGTTTTCTGCGTACAAACGGAGTACATGTTTCGCATTTTAGTGTAGCCGTACTATCAACACATAATTTACACGACGTCGGATTAACGTGACGGTTGAAGACTAATCGTTTTATAACAATCTTGTTCTTTATTGCTGTCTATGTCGCAACAATCTATTTTTTCTATTTCAGTCCATTCAACTTCTTATCTTTCTGCATAGTAGTGTCAAGATCATCGATAAAAATTCTGATATTTATGGTAAATTATTTTTTCTCAAATAAGAATTTTATTTTATGTAAATTGCAAACAGAAATGTTTATTGAAAAACGAAAGTATTTACTGTACAATAATAACTGTCATTCGTCATTTTATTAGGGTATTCCATAGAATATTAGATCATAACTGCTTCGAGTAGTAGTTTCAAGTATGATTTATGGTCTCGCTATCGTTTTGAAATCAATTTTATTACCTTGCGATATCATGCTGGTTCTCAGAATTGGAAAAAAAAAACTTTATTCAATCACATTTGATGTCGTCAGCATTATTGACTCACCTCTTACTTGAAAAGTGTACTATCGCTCGGAAAAAAAGTGATAGTTGGCCGGAGGAATGCCTGAATTATGCCCCGGTTTAACATATAAAATTATAGTTTTTACATAATTACAGAACTATACACGAATAAATTTATTCGTTACGCTGAATAACTCTTGCCCAACAATCATGTGTTTGTATTGGGAATACCCCTTAAAAATCCTCGTTAAAAATTTCCAGAACACAACCGTGTCTCAAATATACGATATATGTACATTGATTAATTGACCGATTCCATGATTTCGAGCATGAAACAAAAAATTGAGAAAATAAAAAATTTGGTGGACTCGACAAGATTGTTCCTGCAATTTGGCCGCTCGTTTTAGTAACACCCTATATCACGATATATCTACGTGACCCGAGAATCGCATCGCGAGCCGCTTGTAATGATTTTTAAAAGC